CTAATAATATCCATTCTGATTTAATAAACCTTTATCTCATTTTATTTTAACTGCTAAAAACTAAAAATGATTATGTTATTAATATTGTCTAAGTTTAGAATGTTAACACAATATGTCTTTGCTAAACCCTATAGGTTTACACGGGGTAAGAAAAGGGGGAGTCCTAATACGTCTGTTTACCAGCATCCCTCACATCAAAATAAGACTATGGAAGATTCCGCATCAGGTAATCATTCTACAAATGATTTTGAATTCCCAAATCAAAACTTTTCAAGACGAGGCCGAAATCGCGGGAACTGGCGAGGAGGGAGGGGAAGGGGTCAGCGTGGTAGAGGATGGAAGACACGACCAAACTGACAAAGATTTAAACGTATGTTTGAATTTGTACCCGTTTTCTGCTGTGAATAATTTATCAGGAAGTATTTAGACTTTTATTATTTATCGAAACACTAAGTTTATTGTCTATGTTCTAATTATATTTGGAAGAATGTATTATATTTCTTAGTTACCAGAGCATAAAAGTAAGGGGTTTGAAAAGTATTGAACAATTGTAAGTAATTTTGATCAGAGAAAGACACTCACTGAATTTAAAATATCTGCACACAAATTAAGAATTGAAACAGGTACTGGAGGTTTTCTAGAACTCCGAGAAAATTGTATGAACTGCTCACTGAATGAGTAAAAAGATGAAATACTTTTTCTTTTTGATTGTCCAAGGAATGCTTCCAAAATAAAATACGTTCTGAAAGTACAGAAAAACTTAAAGAGACGCTTATTCAATGATATAACACTGTCATATGTATTTCTTTGGCTTTTGAACTGTGAAGACTTATATATCATCTGCATAGTTATTACTTTGTCAAATGCTATGCTCATCAGGTACTACATGTAGTATATGAGTGTCTTTTCTATGATATGTATCACAATGTCATCTAATAGGTTTTATACATTATATATGAGTATATGTATTAATTGCACTAAGCAAGGGTTGTTTTGATATGTCCTGTAACACCGTCTATCGTTGTTTTGTGCTTTTAATCCATACCTATGTGGCGCGAGTATATTCATTTCTTATAAGTAAGATTTTCATCATTATGTTATTATACTTCAACTTGTATGCTACATGGGAATATCGCTCCAAGTAAAAGTGGACTAACTGATGTCCTTTAGAAGCGACTCGTATTTTTAGCTGTTTTTCTTTGTACATGTACATATATATGCTCAATTTTCTAACCATTGTCACAATTTTTTCAACTTTGTGTGTCTAGTCATCATAATATAATAAACAAACTGAACAATCGAGTTGTTTATCTAAGTTACAATGTTTCTTGTCATCATATCACTATATTACTATACAAACTGAACAATGGACTATTTAATTACATGTTAATTGTAATTGTGATTAATATGTGTAAGAGGCCCAAAGTTGGAAATAAATCATATATTATTTAATTCTATATGCATAACTTGCCATAAAAAAATGTTAATGGAATCTTAAGAAAAAATCTTTATAATAAACGCACAGGCACTTGTTTCGGAAATAAATTTTTAACCCATATATAGTATAACACTGAAAACATAAATTTGTCACGTTGACCAGATTTGAAGTCATTTTCTTCCGTTCAGTTAGTCAATACATAATGTGACTATCTGTTTCCTCAACATTACCAGTCTCTGGTCAACTTTGACTAGTGACTGGTCATTTTGTTTATATTTATTGGCGGGAAGAAACAGTAGCGTCGGTCGCCATTTTCATCCCAGGAAAACACTAAGTGATGGTAAGTCATGTTTTGTTGTTTTCTTGTTTTAGACAAATAATTCTATAAAAAAACTTATTCAAAAAATGTTCTACAGAGAAATAATGTTGTAATAAACAAAGTACTCGATATTTTTCCTCAATAATTGTTGTATTTTACATTATTATGATACATGTAGGTTAGGATGTGGGTTGATTGTGTTCAAGCAGATTTTCGCATATTCAATTAATGCAAACAGCTCAAATCGAACTTGGTCTAAAATTCAACGATTATTACATAGGTATTATTCTTTTACAACTCACAGTATGGCATGGACTCTCAACTACCACTGAATGGACAAACAAATCAAAATACAATGCATTGTTACGAATATAGACAAGATGAAAACCACATTAGGTACACGAAGATGTTACCATGAATAGAAGAAATAAGGTAGGATTACACGTACTGATAGCTTATATTTTCAGTATAATGGTGATTTACATAGAACTTGTTATTTTTTAACATTCTATTTTATAAAAGAAAATACAAATCGACTAGTCCCTTATGTACATGTACTAACTCTCCACTTACTATACTGGCCTGCTTCACCAAATATTATTCGTATTATTCCATTTTTTTATTTATAATACCTGTATATGTTAAAGGCATTTGAAATAAAATCACAATGGTTTGTAGTTAACCCATTTCTGACGAAAACAGCCAAACAAGAAGAAAACAGAACTGATGATGATTTCATTCACTTGTGCCATGTTTGCTAAGGTAAACGTAATTTTTTATTAGTCATTTTAATTGTATGTATTAAACGACTAAAGGTACCCGTTATTTTCTTCTTAATACTGCATAAATAGCTACTAGTATTTAACTAAATTTATATCTTGATTTCCTTTCAGTATAAATAAATTTTGTTTTCATATACTTTACTTTTGCCATCAAGCAACTTAAATACGTAAATTAAGTAAATTATAAAGACTATTCTTCATTGCAGGACCTGTGAAAAAGAATTTGTAATGATCAAAGAAGAAAACAACCAGTAAATATATTCCTCTGAGGTAGGAAAACAAAGCAACAACTGAAAGGGTGCAACGAGAGACTGTTTCCTGAAGTTATTTCTTTGATTGATTAGAAATCATTTACAAACAGTAAAACTAATTTGCTTGAAATTTATAAATATCTATATGTGCTATATATGTAGGTGTCTGTCTCTTTTAAATTTTTACAATGTCTTTATCCAAATCTTATGTTTTTTAAGATGATCAGTTTATTATTTGTGTTTATTTGGTGCATGAAATAACCATATTTATGAAATTTTATAATAAATAGTTCAAATTTTAGTTGTATAATTGTTATATTTTGTATCTGAAGGGCATTGATGCGTGATAATCAAAATGATTTGACGCGCATCGTCATCATGATTTCCAATATCGTCAAAATGCCTAGAAATATAACTAATTGACAGTCATTTTGATATGAAATGATAATCACTTTGAATATCGGAATCTATCATTATGACAAGAATACAGTCAAATAAAATCGTTATAGTGTACTCATGGTGACTTTCAATTAGTCAAGGTAGACTATCGAGTTAGTCAGTATAATTTTTCTCGAGTCGTCAAAATGAGCTCAACACATCGTCTAATTGACTAACTGCACCCTCATCTGGAGGACAATCAATCTGATTATTTTTTTAGGTCATGGTGACTAACTTAAATTTTCAGTGAATAATAAAACTAGGGCTGGGTATTGGCCCGAGATTTCGTATTGCGATATATTGCGATATTTTAAAGCGTATTGCGATATGTATTGCAATATTTTCAAGGTAATAAAAATGGCATTTTCGTACTAAATTTACTTTAATTTACATGCAGAATGTACATAACTATGATAAGTAACCAACATGGAAAAGAATCTTGTTGATTTCAGTTAAGTTATGCTCTGAACTGTTCCAACAAAACAACTTCTGACTTACTGTTTGGCTTAATAACACACTTTCATAAGTCCATTTTTATTTTTAATGACAAATTTCCTTAATCTAAGTATAATGCCAATATATCGATATTACAAAATCGTATTGCGATACGATATTCTTTGTCATTGTATTGCAATATATTGAAATATTGATATTATTGCCCAGCCCTAAATAAAACAATATTATTATACTATGATTTAAAACTTTATTTCCGAAACAAGTGTCTCCTCAATATTTCCATTATCATTGTAAGAATATCTCCTTATCACCTGCATGCGGGGCTTATGTCTCCCAGTTGGTTCGGTACCCATGAACGTGGTCTCCTCACGAACTATTTCTAAAACGGGACAAACTATTGACATTCAAGTTGATGAATCAAGGATATAATCAGTCTCGTTTAATATAATCAATTCCATAGTCAATTCAATGATCTTTTAAGCAATTATATATATATTATTATGTCGAATTTTGACTGCGGTATTTTATACCAATTGATAGACATACTGATATGTCTACGGATTGCCTGAACATGACAAAGAGCACACAGCGGGTGTTCCCGGCCGCCAGGGTGTGCTTTCTACTTCCTGTCACCTGTTTGCTTCCGATTTTAATCGTTTCAATGACCTTTCGAAAAATTAAAGTTGGGAGAGATATATGAATTATTTTAACAAAAAGGTTTAAAACACCGAATAGTGATTGATCTCATAAAAACTATAAACAATACAAATCATTAAATGGGCCATAAACAAGGACCTCTAGAATTCAAGGGGTGGGATCAAGTGCCTAGGATGAGTGCACACCCCCTTTTGCTAGGTCGCTCTGTAGAATTTATTCGAAAACCTCCATGAGAAAAAAACCACTTGCTATGGTCTTCAGCTCGACATCGAGATATGTAGACAATTTTCAATTAACAACCAGGCCTAACTTTCATTCATATGTCGACTCGATAAATCCTAGTGAACTTGAAACGAAAGACGCACAGAGTTTCTTACACCTGTTTCACATTTGGATTTTTTACTGACTACAGACGTAAGGGCCAACTAACAACTAATCCTCTTGACAAACGAGATGACTTCAGCTTACCCATGCTTTCCTTATTTATGTAGTAATATTCCGCTAACACTCACATGTGGTGTTTACACCTCCCATCTCATTTAATACTCAAGAGCAAGCTCCGAGTACAACCAATTTTTAAACCAAAGCAGACTACTGACAGATAAGTTGATGTTACAGAGATTCAAAGTAAACATTTCGGAACATTAGTATATCATTGGGTTGTATGTTGACAGACGTGTTTCATTACATACCTATTGAGGGAAACATTTTCGTGAGGAACGTTAAACATCAAATAAACAAACAAGTATTAAGTATACCTACTGTTAGGCCTTTGAAATTATCCGAAATTTAAATAATGGGAAAGTACCTAATCAATACATAAGACTCACGGCAGGCGTGATCGGTCAACAGGGGATGCTTACCTCTCCAAGGCACCCCCCCCCTCGAAATGTCGGGGGTCTGTGTTTTAGACATGTTTACAGATTTGTATTCTTTCAATTTTATGAAATCGAATACTGCTGTTTTATATTATATTCACCTCTGACCACTACTAATATTGAGATTAATCACATGGTATTTGAACAGAGCAGACACTGATTGTCCCCGTGCATATCACGAAGGACCTGCAAAGATAAACTAAGTTTTAAATAACTTTTCAGGGAAAATCAAAATTGAAACGAAATTTTGTATTTTCAAGAAAAAAACTGAAAAATACTCATTCATTGCGCAATTTTTAAAGCTTAATATTTTACTGATAAAAAAAAATAAAACTTCATATTTTACTTTTTTAATTAAAGGAGAGAAGATTTTAAAAACTTTATGAGGTACATTTTGTTATGAAGTTATGACATTACATTTTAGAAATGTGCAATTAATAAACACAGCACAGCCTAAATACACTGAAGAATGAAATTTCTAACCTATATACATGAGTTTACCTTAGTTGTCATTTAATTATTAACTATTGAAAAATCAATATTATACCTTAGAGAACGAGTCTACATGTACATTTTCAGAAATCAAGCCGTAGGTTTTAGGTTTTCCGTGGAAAATAAAACGAAACTAGAAACTTGAGTCACACGGTGCATTACTGCACTGACTGCAGTATTGACGCCGGTGAGTGGTGGCTTATGTTGTTTATATGCTGAAATGTTTTGTATTCCATGTTGTTCATGAATGTGTACAGCACAGAATTCATTCAGGTATTTATAATAAGTTAAAGTAGAATATATATCTGTTTTCACTTACATTGTTGATTGTTGACCGATACAATATTGGGCAATTCATTACTATAGTAAAAAGATGACATTGAATTAAGACTTTAGGCAGTTGATAGTTTGTTAGAGTATTTAAAAGTAAAAGAATAAGATAAGTCAGTTACATACTCTTAAAATTAAAGTTACGTCTTGTAATTCAGACTCCTACCTTCGGAAGTATTCATAAATTATTATGTGGTTGACTTTATTAATGGTTGATCATGAAATCGGTGAGTGCACAGTGAATGCACTTTATTTTAGATATTCTAAATGTTTATAATTACGTCAGGTAGTGTAGATTCAAGTTAATTACGTCAGGTAGTGTAGATTCAAGTTTGTTCAAATCATGACCCCTGGGGGTAGGGCGGGGCCACAATGGCTGATCAAAGTTTTACATAGAAATATATAGGGAAATTCTTTAATATTCTTCTCAAGAATAGCAAAGGCATGAATGATCATATTTATATAGAACCTCTTGTTAGAATTATTTCAAGAATTAAATATATTAAATATATTTATTGTTCGAAATAATTTTTTCTTTATCAAATGACAATACTTGCGATTTTCTTATTCTATATGCAGTTCTCATGAAAAACTTACCATTTTCGTTGAGTACTTCCTGTCGATTGGGAATGTACAAAATGAGTGCTTTTGAAAAGATAAAGGAACAACAAAACTAAAATGCTTCCATAACCGTCTACAATTGATTCACGTGGGACAAAATAATGTGAAATAAAGCACAGGGAAATTAAGAGCTTGTAGAGCTAGAAAGGAAACCTTATTTTTCTCTACTCAGTGGAACCTATTCCCCATTTTCAAAAATGAGTTATCTCCCCTCAAATCGGAACTCTTCTACACTAGCCTAACTTCCGCGGACTACGCAATACGATAATCCAACAAAATAGTGATCAACTTACACGCTGTATTTAAAAATTTTAAAAGAAGGAAACGGTTTGCCTTTTTTTTTTTTAGATAATAAATTATTTTATAAAGGGTCTGTTAGCCCCCCCCTTTCTAGAAAGCTGTACGAATTAGCCAGGCACGTAGCATCGTCTTTAAAAGTGGGGGGGGGGGTAGCCAACGAAATATTTTTTTCTTACCTGGAAAAGTTGACAAGCAAAGAAAAACCTTGCCCAAAGTTGAAAAAGCTACTTATTTCAGTACCAGTTCCTTGGCATACAATGCTACATTTCCCATATATAACTTTACCGTAGTATAAACTGTGTGTGTGTGTGGGGGGGGGGGGGGGGGGGGGGTTGGGGGGGTTGGCAACCTGTCTATCAATGAACATTTTCAATAGAAAAAGTAATACTGGGGAAAAAGTGGGGGTGTGGCTAAGCCCCTTGACCCCCCCCCCCCCCCCCCCCCAGTTCGTAAGGTACAGAGAACGTATATGTAAATGGGTTGAACAGTTGAATATGAACCATAGTTGTGAAAATTAAAAATTATTAGAATTATTAATTGTGAATTCAATAAAATTACGGTACATATATTTTTCCACGGATGTACATGTATGTCAGTTACACGGGGTTACTTGAATCTCTCTCTCTCTCTCTCTCTTTCTCTGATATTGTTTTTTACACACTTTGCAAAAAAGAATAACTTATAAAAATAAATACATGTACTTACACTGAAAGAATTTAAAAAAAATAAAGAACATTGAGAAAAGAATGTTTTCCGTTAATTAACGAGAAATACGCTAGGAAATTATTGTATCAATTTCGTGTTTCTGCTCTCAATTCTCTGATCTAAAACAAAATGTGTATTTTACTCCGGAATATGCATGTACATATGCTTAGATCCTGCCCTAAAACTTTGATTAAATGCAGTTCAGACTTTATACGACATATGTAACACGAATTCAGGTCGATGCTATTTTAATTAGTCTTTCTTCGTTACATGAGCAAATGAGATTAAATTATTCATTTAGAATTCCATTCAAAGTTTTAATACTATACAGTGAATCAATTATTTTACAAATAAAAAATTCTAGAAACACGGTTAATTCAAATGAAATAGGCCTTTAATTGTCACCAAATGTGTTCTTGTAAGTAAAAGTTCTATGTTATGACATACAATCGAGCAAAAACGCAGTTTCTTGGAATCGGTCGCGGAAGACGAACTACTACTGTATATGCAGCAATTTCAGAGGTAAACCTTTAGATGGACATGTCATCAGTCTCCAAAAAAATTCCTAAAGATACAAAGAAAATATGGCTGCAGCAGGCTAGATTAATTCGTAAAAACTTTATAACTAAAAATTTGTTCCGCACATTTTGTAAATAATGATGATCCGTACGTCTGCAGAACATCCACTACCGAAAATTAGCTTTTGTTTTGTGTGTTTGTTTTTTTTTTTTAAATTGGCCTATTCGAATATGTATAAGCATTTTATCAATAATTTGTTTCGTTTTTTTGTTGTTGTTGTTTTTTTTTGTAAAGGGGGGGGGGGGGTGTCACACAGCACCTTATTATAGTACTATACAGATTAATACAAATCCAGAAAGAGACTATGAGTGGGCAATTTAAAAAAAAAATACGAATCAGTTAAGATTTCTTTTTATTCACAAACACAATAATTCCATATGACAGACTGAGGCATTACACCATGAACATGTTTACATCAAGAACGTCCGCGGAAGTGACTTTATTTATAGCGCATGCGTATTAAACACAGTAAAAGAGTTCCCTTCAGGGGAAATAACTCACCTTTTGGGGGAATACTGAGTACATATATCATAGCTTTCTTTCATCCGTAGAAAGTAGAATATTAGACCTAAAAAACCAATTCCTTAGATGAATTTCTTTCTTTTTTAAAATAGTTTAGCCATACAATACAAAGTACACTGTTAAGGTGTTTCAAAAATATCACTAGATTTTACAATCCCTTACTCATACTTAGCTTAAAGATAAGCTTTTGGTAACAGTAACTTTGAACATCAGTATGCAACAGGATGTATATAAATCAAATGGAGAGGGGGTTAACCATGAAATCTACATATAACATTAGAAAATAGGGGGTATTGTCAAAAATGGTTATGCTAAATTAAAGAGGATGGGTGAATAAGGCGGGCAGAATGCCTATAGTGCGACAGATAAGAAGCGAAAATTTTAATCTCAATTGAATCCAAATTTTACTTGATATTTCATCTAATATTAAAGTATACTTTATGTAAAATCTTTACAATTTACAAAAATCTCACAAAGACTGAAAATATTTGCCTAAAAATGCTTACACACACTAAAAAGAACAAAAACGAACATTTTCTCATACTTAAACAAAATTTTTCAATATGGGTGGGTCTTCTCGCCATTTTTTTGAAAGATGATCCTAAAAGTGTGCAATAAAATACACATTTTTTGGTTTTAAAAACATGGAGCGAAGACCCACTATACCTTAAAAGTACAATTTTATGACACAACATTAGCATCTTTCCGAGAAATACTTCAAGTCCATTAAGCCGAGGGTCATACGTATCACAAACATGATTTAATTGCCTAAAATCACCATGAGCGGTGTAGCATAGTGGTTAACGCGTTAGTCTCAAAGCAGTATGCTATTGATACGTCGGATTTTTATTGCTTAGGGTTCGAATCCCACGAATACCATCTAATAATTTTATGAAAGAAAATTTTTTACGAGATTTTTTCTCTCTCAGAAAAGTTTTTTTTCTCATAATTTCAAAAATTTCAATAATTAGAAGTTAATTTAAATAATCAATTCACATATTTAATATGATTTCTTAATATCTGACGCTATAGACATTCTGCCCGTCTTGTTCACCCATCTTCTTACAGGTAAGTAGTACCAGCATTTTAAGAAAAATCAATAATTTATGTGATCTCTATATGAAACAATTATTTCTTAGCCTTCTTCTGACAATACGAATATAAAATCAGAGATTGATTGATTGTATGTTGTTTAACGTCCCTCTCGAGAATTTTTCACTCGTATGGAGACGCCACCACTTGCTGGTGGAGAGCTACAAATTTTGTCCTGTACTCGGCACTCAGGGCCATTCAGCAGTGAGGGATCTTTTTCGTGCCAGCACCTACTGCGACACGGGACCTCGGTTTATAGGTCTCATCCGAAGGACCGGTCTCCACGTCCCACAGTGGGATTCGAACCCGCGACGTAAGGATTGACTCCATACTTCGCGACTCTAGAGCATACGCTCTAACCACTGCGCCACGCTGGATCAGAGAAGTATGAACTATAATCTGATATTTTGTTTTGGTTTTTATAGATTTTGCAAATGAAGTGAAAGAAGTCTCAATGTAAAGAGGTAACTGTTGTTTTATTGTTTATATACGTAAAGAATGTTTTTAAATGAAAAAATAGGTGTTTAACGTGAACATTTCAAAAAATGTGAATGTGGATTTCTCCTTTATTGGAAAGTGTTGTTTATTTGTTTTGTAGAGAATGATCAGAATGTCTTCGAGAGAGGACACCAAAACCTACTCGGTTTCAGAATTAAGACATTTTAAAGGTCTCTCTGTTCATCATATCTTAGAGAGTCCGCTTTGGTCGTACAGTCGCTTTTGTGACACGAGTTCCGATTTCAACAGTACCGAAAAATCCATATTATTCATAGAAATTTTTACAAAAATTATCACTTGTGATGACCCGCTACTGCAGCTCCAAATTAACAAGGTTCTCTCGGAGATCTCGACTGATAACTTTTTCACTCAAACACTTGGGCTTCTGGGTAGAATCGAAGTAACAACAACTGAAATCAATGAGGAATGGCTAGAAATATTAGAGAATTTAGTAAAATTTCTTCAGCAATTATGCAGCAAAATTCCAACAACTGCTTTAGCTTCTTTGGGATTATGTACTTATTTGAATTCCACAATTACACGATTTATATCAAAGAATTGTGATGAAAGATTTAACAGTAGTCTCCTGGCCATAAAAAATGATATTGAAGATATCCAGAAAAGCATTTCCGAAAACTTGATCAAACCCCAACTGGAAAAAAGGAGAGAAAAGCGAGATCAGAGAAAACCACCTAGTGATTTTCGCAAGATACCAATACTACCCACCAGGGATGATATTTTCCATGAACCTTTTTTGAGAAAAAATTTAAAAGAAGGGTTTTATGACAACTTGGATCATTACTTAGATATCCAGTTTAGACTTCTAAGAGAGGACTGCATTGCTCAGTTGAGAAGTGGAATATACGAATACATTGAAGCAAAAACAATAAATGAAAATAGAGAGGTAAGAAGATTGCAAGATGTCAAACTCTACAAAAAAGTGACCGTTGTCTCCAAAGAAAAATCTATAATCGGTCCTCTTTATGTGATCGAGTTAGATTATCAGCATGTCAAGCGCATTAAATGGGAAAGGAGCAAAAGATTGCTTTATGGATCGCTGCTTTGTTTGTCCCCCGACGATTTTGATACACTTTACTTTGCTGTGGTTGAGGATGCCGATTACGAGAAAATAAAAACAGATTGTACTTTTAAAGTGAGCATGAGGAAAGAAAAAGGCCAGCCAGAGATCCCTATGTATTTCCCGATGACCATGGTGGAAAGTTCAGCCTATTTCGAGTCTTACAGACATGTGTTGTCCTCCCTACAGAATATAAAGGAAGAAGATTTACCATTCAGGAGATATATAGTGGAGGGGTGTAAAGACATAAGACCCCCGGCATACGTTGAGGAGGATGAAGAGATTGAGTATGACTTAGGACCAATCATTAATCAAAAGACCATTTTCAAGAGGCACCTCCGTACATGTGATAAAAAAGAATACATATTACTGTCAGATAGATGGCCATCAGCGGAAAAGCTTCATCTCGATGATTCCCAGATTCAAGCATTGAAATGTGCTTTAACCAGAGAATTTGTCATCATACAAGGACCACCTGGTACAGGAAAAACACATGTAGGACTCATAATAGCAAAAGTACTGCTACATAACAAAATACATTGGAGGAGAGAGAGAGAAATTTTTGGATACAGGAAAGGCTATCGAAATGTTCCTGCTCATGTAACAGATGATGCTTCTTCAGCAATGCTGATAGTTTGCTATACAAACCACGCCTTAGATCAGTTTATGGAAGGCATCCTGAATTTTTTAGATCCAGAGAATAAACATGAATGGGAAACAAAACTTGTTCGTGTTGGCTCAAGATGTTCAAATCCTAAAATTGAAGAATTTTCCCTGAAGCACAAAAGACGAGAAAAACATTATCGTTACTTGCAAGTCAATGATAGACAATTTCTAAATCAGCTTCAGGAAACGCGCAAAAAAATTTCTGAAATTAAATGGATGTTAGCAAAATCTGCTCAGAATGTCTTTGGAGAAGAAATTTTAGACCCTTGGGTCGAAGAGGTTAACACTCTTTTGAACAAAAGCAAAAATTTTGAGATGCTGAAATGGTTGAAAATTGATGAAGATTCGTTACGCCAATCTGCATATAAAGATTATGAAAAATATGCAGTTGCCAATGCAATGGAAACAAATGATGTGTTTGATACGGCAAATGAAGATGATGTGGAGAAAATTAATATACATACAGAAGCTGACCTCATCAATGCTGAAAGGCATGTAGAAGACGACGATTTTGATGCTGATATTAACTTTGGGGAAATTGGAGTCAGCATTGACTTAATTATACAAGCCATTTTAGAAAAAGGGGACTTCGACGAGTTGTTCGAAAAACTGCTAAGAGAGCATGGAAGGAAAGCAAAATTGAAGATTGTAAGTGAGGATTTCATGAAACCTGCTGACGTTGAAAAGGCTATTCAGAAACCATGGAAATTGTCGATTACCCAGAGATGGAGCTTGTATAGATACTTTCTTCATAAACTGCGTGAGAGGGCCAAAGATATTCTCAGAGAAGAAGAAATAAGATATGCTGAAATTCACGAAAATTATTTACGTGAGAAACAGAAAATCGATCGTGAAATTCTACTTCAATCAACAATTATTGCTATGACGACCTCCGGAGCGGCAAGATACCACGATGTTCTGAGAGAGGTGGGACCTAAAATAATCATTGTCGAGGAAGCAGCAGAGGTTTTAGAAGCACACATTATAACCACACTGAATTCGAACTGTGAACATCTTATTTTGATCGGCGATCACAAACAATTGGAACCCAAACCTGCTGTGTTTCATCTAGCCGAAAAATATAATTTGGCCTTATCGATGTTTGAAAGAATGATAAATTTAGGCTTGCCATATGTTTGCCTTGAACGACAACATCGAATGCGACCACAAATCTCACAATTGGTACGTCCTGTTTATGCAAAACTTGTAGACAACGAAAATGTCTTTGAGTACGAACATGTCATGGGCATTGAAAAAAATGTTTACTTTGTAACACATACCAAAGAGGAATCCACGAAAGAAGAGTCTCAAAGCTATTGGAATGATCACGAAGCTCTCTATATTCAACGCCTGACTCGTTATCTTCTAAAACAGGGATATACAAAACAGCAACTTACTATCCTCACACCATATTCAGGCCAAATGTTTCTAATACGAGATTATATGCCAAGAAGAGAATTTGATGGGATACAAATTTCAATTCTGGATAACTATCAGGGGGAGGAAAATGACATTATTCTGTTGTCTCTAGTTAGAAGTAACAATGAAGGCAGAATTGGCTTTCTTAACAGAGAAAACCGTGTATGTGTAGCATTATCCAGAGCAAAAATTGGTCTCTATGTCATTGGAAACTTTGACATTATACGCAAGTTTTCTTACAGATGCAAGTTATGGGGAAAAGCTATTAAAAGGATGGAACAGGATGGTGCGTTTGGGAAAGGACTTCCACTTTTCTGTCGGATTCACCAGTCAACTCGCATACATGCTGTACTCCCTTCAGATTTTGACAAGGCTCCCGAAGGAGGATGTTCTCTTCAGTGTGATATTAGAAGAAATTGTGGACATGCATGTGATCTGTATTGTCATCCGAGAGATCCCGAGCACAAGGATATTGAATGCAGAAAAATGTGCCCAGAAGTCTGTATACGTGACCATAAGTGTAAGAAACGGTGTCATTTCCCCACAGATTGCATGTGCAATGTAAAAATGATAAAAACATTACCTTGTAAGCATGATCTAGCTCTGCCCTGCCATGTGGATCCAGAAACAATCAAATGTGAAGAACAAGTACACAAGGAACTACCTTGTGGACACAGTGCTGAAATGCCGTGTTATAAAGATCCTGCTTCATATGTCTGTGAAGTTTTGGTAGAAAGAGAGTTGGATTGTGGTCATTTAAAAACACTACCTTGTCATAAGGACTATAAATTATACAAATGTAAGGAGATTGTTCAGAAAAAACTTCCTTGTGAGCATGAAGCAGAAATGCTCTGTTGGGAAAGTCCAATCAGATATAAATGCAAAAAAATTGTCCACAGGACATTAAGTTGCAATCATGAAAAGGATCTTGAGTGTTTTATTGATGTTCAATTCTACAAGTGCCAGGAAAAGGTCATCAAACAATTACCATGTGGCCATGAATGTGAATTTGAGTGTTTTCAGAGTAAATACATGTTTGGGATACAATGTAATGAAGACGTCACAGAAAAAAGAACTATTAGTTTCACATCGAAAACACCTAGTCTTTATCGTTACTTGTCTCTCAGTAGGCTAACAGAAAAGAGCTGTGATCATATGTATACCAGAAAATGTTATGAATCAGCAAGAGACTATCAAAAAAATAATCCGTGCAAAGAAATAATTAAGAAAACATTGAAATGTGGGCATGATATTGAAATTGCTTGTCATTTACGAGAGGATGCTGTCAAATGCAAAGCGAGTGTAATGACAGATTTTGAATGCAATCATGAAAATGTCGAAGTTTCATGCCATTTGAAACCTGAAGCAGAGTGTCAAGCGAAGTGTGGAAAGGTGTGCAAGTTTGGTCATGTTTGTCAGAAAAAATGTCATTTTCCAAATCCCTGCATTTGCAAAATTAAAATGCAAAAGCAAAAGGATTGTGGTCATATGCTTCTTGTAGAATGTCGCGAGGACATTTCAACGATAGCTTGTGATAAACCAGTAGAGAAAAAATTACCATGCGGTCATTCCAAAATTCTTCCTTGCAAAATAGATATAAACAATGATGATGTTAAGTGCAAAGAAAAGATTGTGAAACTTCTAAGATGTAAGCACTCTCTACTATTATCTTGCCATGTCGATCCTGATGATCCAAGCATAAAATGCTTAACAAAAGTAGAGAAGGACATACCTTTTTGTGGACACAAAATTCTTATCGAGTGTTTTAAAAATCCTGATGCAGAAAACTGCCAGAAAAAGGTGCAACTTGTACGACTGGACTGTGGGCATGATACAGAAACTTATTGCTATTTTAAAAAGCAGTTAATTTCTGAATTAAAAAAATATTCAGATTTACCTTCATGCAAAACTCTTGTTGCTAAAGAGCTGCCTTGCGGTCATATATTGAATGTACCTTGCTCAGAGCAGCACACAAATAATGTAAAGTGCAAGGAACCATGCAAATATGTCCTTCTGTGTGGTCACATATGCAAGGGTTCCTGCTCAGAATGCAACATTAACTTTCAACACAGAGAATGTCAAAAAATATGTAATAAAGTGCTCATCTGTGGCCATCAATGCAAAAGCAGTACTTGTGGAAGCTGTGGTTCTTGCTCCAATACCTGTAGCTTTAGATGTTCTCACTTTCGCTGTAGTCATCCCTGTAACAAAGCATGTGAGATGTGCACCAAACCTTGCGACTGGGCATGCCCTCATTATAAATGCTCGAAACTCTGTTTTGATGTATGCGACCGTCCAAAATGCAATGAGAGATGTTCTAAAAAATTAAAATGTGGTCATCAGTGCATTGGATTTTGTGGAGACCCATGCCCAAAACTATGTAAGAAATGCAACCACAAGGAAATCCAGATGTTATCGAAAGATGGATCCAGTCTTTTTGTTGAACTTCAAGATTGCGGACATCCATTCAATTCCAAATCTATTGATGCATACATGGAACATGCTGCAGATGTTTTTTATATAAAACGATGTCCAAAGTGTTCAAAAGTAATCACGTGGCATCCACGTTACCAGGCAGAACTCAAAAAACAGAGTTTGACCTTTAACGAGATTAGGAATACAATCGATACAGTGTCAGAGAGATTAAAGGTCTTTTCATTTCCCATCCTTTTTGGCGATTCTGAAAATTGTTTTGAGTATATTACAAAGTTCGGAACATTTGTGGCTGCAAATGAACAGTCTTTACAACAAATGGATGATATGTTGCTGACATCTGCAAAACATTATTTGCATTCCATGAAGCAATTGCTACAGAAGAAAGAATCAGGAAATCAGACATACCACAGTATTTATACAAAACTACGAGTTATTAGAGCCTGGTGGAAGGTGTTTGTTGTTATACAATACAACACATTTTCACAAAAGATTTTATTGGATCAGGAGGCAAGAGTCACCGAAAATGAACATTCATATTCTGATGATTCTGATGTTGATGAAACAGGAAAAGATTACTCCAGCAAGCAGGATGGTGCTGATAAGGATCAGAAAGGATCATCTAAAAGGCAGTCTAAATATGAAAAATTTCAAGACTTCAAGCGAAACATAGACCTCTTGCAGGAGTCTTTTATCAAATCGGAAAATGACCTCGATTACTGGGCAAAGTACGTAGAAGAAAGAATGGAATATTTCACACCTTTCCTGGATAAGATAGGAAATGCATGGATTCAAACAGCCGATAAATCTCCTAAGCTGATCGCTGTACTTGAAATCCATGCCGAAAAATGGAAAATATGTGCAAATGGTCAGTATTTACTAGTTCTTCTTTTATAAAATCAAAAGCTTTGTAAAGTTTCTTTTGGCATTATTTTGTCAATCCTCTGCCTCGATACACCATTATATCTCTAAACAAGTATGTGTTAGTTTTATCTATTACTTTTTATCTCAAATTATATAATCCACATCATCAGATAAGAAAATTAATAAAAATACACGTAGAAGACGTTACTTTACACGCAAAGGGGTAGGGTGGCTTGTTGGACATTTCATTTCAAATATATTATTTATTACACCTTATTTAAAGTTTCATGTATACCAATGGAAAAATCGGGGAAAACGCAAAAATAAATTTACATAGAATTTACATTTTAAGAGAGAAAAGTAGGCCAACAAGCCTCGGTGTTGAGTATCTTGGAGAGGAAAAATGTAGATGTTCCTTTTCACAATACCTGTGGGTAGTTGGAGAATTTTCTTGTGACCATTTGATTTTCTTTACGGAAATATGAACCGTTGATTTCATTTTCATCAAAATTTGAAGAAGAGTCTCTAAAGAATATTTTTTTATGAATGATTATATGAATAATTTTAAATCATAATTAAAAATTATTTCATTATTTGAGAATATATATGGTTCCTATTTGTGTAAGAATGATCTAGCTTAAGAGAGAAATAAAAATCATGTTTTTTTGCACTTTTAGGTCACCCCTTCAGCTTTTTGAAGGAAATCAGTGATTGTGTACTTTGCCTTGGATTCGACAGACTGTCCTTGCAGCCTTTTCAAATTCCGCAGGAAACAGATAAACCAGGACAAAACAAAAATTATAACGAGCAAGGTGCTAGGCCGAAAACCCGAGGGAAACAGGTTGAAAATGACAAACAAGTATGGGAAAATAATATGTCTGGAAATGAAAGACAATTTCAGAAAGAATTTCCCACGGCTATCAACAATGATAATGATAGAAAAAGCCGGAGAAGAGACAGGCGAAAGGAAAAGAAACCTGCAACAAATCAAACGAATGAATGTCCCATACCGATAATTTTCGGAAACCAAAGACGAGGAAACCAAACACGTCAATATAATGAATTCAGGTCTGATCAAGGCCGTGGTAATAGTCAAGACAATTTTAATTTGATTACCCGTGGCAATGAGTTCCCATCTTTGGAAAACAAAAGAAATATGGAATCCAATCAGTCGGCTATAGATAGCTTATCATGGAGAAGTGGAAACGAGCCTTGGCAACATAGACCAAGAGAAAGGGGATGGCGAGGAAGAGGAAGTGAGTATGGACAGCAGGATAACCGGGGACAAGGAGGATGGGGAAGAGGGAGAGAACACGAGCAACAGGACCACAGGGGAGGATGGAGAGGAGGATGGGGACGAGGGGGTGAACACGAACAACAGGACCAAAGGGGAGGATGGAGAGGACAACAGGAGAGATCGTGAACAACAGGAAAAGGGGAGGATGGAGAGAGGTGGGGAAGAGGAAGACGTTAATAATCTTTTAGTCTTCAACTGTTACTTCTATTAAGTATTACTGCACGGTGTATAGATACTTATAATTTTATCACATGTTAAGCTTTTTGTGTCTCCTTGAATACACTGAAACCTTATTTGAATAAGTTTTCAAAAATATAATTATTGAAGTACATGTATATGCTTTACTAAAACTTCATGCTATTACAATCTGTGTTTTTTAAAAATATTTATGTTTTCATGTATATGTTAATTGCAAACATCTAATGATGCATTTGATCATGATACTTATAATTTTATCACATGTTAAGCTTTGTGTGTCTCCTTCTCTTTGTATCAAATGTTATAAAATTCGTAATTTTTACATGAATAATAATATTTTTGAAGGCAATTTTAATTTGTACATTAATTGATTTATCATATAAAATTTATTCACAGATTTAAAGCTCAATACAAATTGTATTTCAAAATTTTGATGTTTTCATGTATATGACACAAAAAAAAACATCTTAATGATGTATATATATTTTCAGACATTTGAATTTCAATATAATTTGTTTCTTTTTACACGTTTTGATTGGATAAAAGATTTTATCCATTTTGTATAACATAACTTGCCTACATAAAATTCGTCAAAAAAATTCTTGTATGCTTGACGTTATTTTTAAAATTTAATCAATTTTGATTTTTACATTAATTGATTTTTCATATAAAATTCATTCACAGATTTAAAGCTCAATACAAATTGTATTTTAAAATTCTGATTTTAAGGACAGATGATACAAACAAACAATGCATGCCTGGATTGGTTTATATATTTTTTGACTTAATTTCATTGCAAATGATGCAAATAATAAATTATTTCTAGAATATAAAGAAAATGTAATCCTTCTGTGATGCTCAAAATTCCACCCATCTGAAACCATCCTTATTATTCTATACAAATATTTTTCACTTCAAATTCCAATTTTGTGAAACTTTGAATAAAAAAATAAAAACTACGCGGTGAAAGTTATTAATTTTATTCATTAAAACATGACCCAAGTTGTTATTTTCAAAATTTTTGACAAAAGTTTGTATCATCTGTCCTTAAAAAGCAGATAAAATTGCAGTTCTTGCAGTGGTCACTTCATATTCAGCATATGTACATCATCTTCTCGAAACTTATAATTCTTAAATTATATAATTTTAAAATTAAATTATAAAATTGTATACCAAAAATCATGCTTGAAATGAAGCATGCACTGATCAATTCATCTAGATGTAAATTTCTTAAAAATTAGGACTTGGTCACACCTTACGGAACAGAGCTATAACGGATTTGTATCATTTTCAGTCCATTCTTCTTCGTTCGCATGCGTTTCCAATCCGTTTTCTCGATGAATATGTTCTGTGAAAAACGTTTTATCCAGTGGAAGGTTTTACGATGTTCAAAACTTGGAATGGACACAAACGGACCAAGATTTCCGGTACGGTACATCCGTTCAAAGTATAATGGGTATCCGTTTGCTTGCGGTTCGTATGAAACCTTACGTTCAATGTCCGTATAAGTCACAACTTGACAATATTACCGTAATATAACGAATTAATCAGACTGCTGTCCAAAACTCAATCTTTACATCACAGGCACCTGAATTTTTATCAAAAAGTCGCTAAATTAGCCAAATATCGAAAAATTTTACATGTAGAATTTTTCGATATTTGACTAATTTAGCGACTTATTGATAAAAATGCAGGTGCCTTTGTTTACATGAGCGGAGAAGTCCGTTAGTTGACCAATGCTTGTATGGTATATCCCAGAATCGTTTAATTTTTTTGTGCGTTTATAGTTACCAAAGCCTTAAATGGCGGTAAAAGACCATTTTCAGCAGCCGAGTGTGAGCGAATAACCAGTAACGAAATGCGTTTTGTTTCCGTGCGTTTCTTCGTGTAATTGACATCCGTTAGTACTATCCTGTAAGGTGTGACTTAACCCTTAAGATTTGAAATTAAAAATTATTGCACTTGTATCTAAATTTGGTGTAAAGGTTGATGTTTGAATAAAAATTACATAATATGAATTTTTTGTGTAAAGATTATTATATCTAAAAAATAATATATATATGTACTAGTATTAACAAATATATCTGATGAAATATATGGAAATAACGAGCAGTTCTCAAAAGTCCATTAAACTATACAAAACTGGCACAGAGCAAACACGGACCTCCAAAAAATCAGAGGTGGGATCAGGCGCCATGGAGGAGCGAGAATCCCCTACCGACCGGTCACACCCGCCGTGAGCTCAAGATCGGGAAATCACAGTAAAAAATACCGTTGACAATCCAGTTATGTGTTTAATAGCTTAACAATTTGACTTATTTGAAAAATTTTTCATAATTTGCTCGTTTTGAATTTTATTTTTTAATAATTAAATATATTTGTAAAACTCTGACAAGGTCAATTTGCCTTCTGTACAAAAAACAAGGTATGGTTTCAATACAAAGTTTGGTTGGAAGATTTTAAATACCACACAGATAAAAAATGAAACTGGTGTAAAAGTTGAAAATTCATGCTTTTTAAATAATTGAAATTCAATGCTGAAAAACCATACAAATCATTTTTCTCAAATGTGTTTTTAAATGCTAATTGTGACGTCATAAACATGTGCATTTTCCCGTATTTTCTTCAAAAGTTGCAAAAGGCATCAGTTTGAAGTGGAATTTTCTTTCAGAAAACATTGTTTGATCGCCCACAAAGATCTTGAGATATGTGGTTTATTATTGAATTTTGCACAAAATATAAAAAAATTAACGTGGGCGACGGCTGTGGACACTGTTTTCTAAAGGAAAAATTTTCTGTTGGAAATAGAGAAATGCTTCATATTAATGACGTCATATTTGCAGAATGGTAATCCTTAATGCCATATTTTTTCCTGATTTATCACAGTCGTATATTTAACTAATATTTAAGCCAGTTTAAAAACTTTTTGATGTCATTACATTTTTAGGGCGCAATAAAGCTAAAACCATACCTTCTTCTTTGCCTCGTTTTAGAATTTTATTTTTCAAAGTACAGTATCTAAATATGAATCAGATGTGTAAAACTCTCTGATATCTTCTTTTGGGCAAATTCTGCCTTCATAGGAATACAAAAATAGGTCTGCTAATGACGGGGCTCAATTGGTACCCATGGGAATTTCCACAGATGGTTGGAAGACCTGGTCTTCAAATACAACACAGATACTGTCAATCAAAAACTCAAGCATCTTTTTAATATCAATGTCAGAGTACTTGTTTTGTACAATCAGAATGTTTTAACAATGTTTTGATACATATTTAAAATAAATTGATAGTTCTCAATCTGCTGTAATTAGATTCATTCATATATTGATTCGATATATCCAGCTGAACTCGAAATAAAACAGTGTACCATCTGCCTCATACTTGAATGTTTTAGTGACTGTGTGTTTTTCATTTCTTGATAGATCACTGTTTGTTATCTTCAATTTTTTTCTTTACAATGAATTGAAACAAATACTCTATTTTCCATGCTGATCACTGTGATGTACCCGAGCCAAAGGTGAATGTAGCTTCAAAGTGACGATTTCTCATCAACGTAACTACTTTATGTTAAAGATTATTTCTGTTAAGGACAAAAAGAGTATTCTCATAATTTTCCAAAGAAATTTCTGAAAAAAAAATGTATTATTTTTATAAAGTCTAAATGCGATCTTATTTTGTACATGGTTAGCTCAGTGTGCGAGTAAAAATTAATATTACATTTCTTTTTAATTTAAGAATCAATCTTTGTATTATAATGCAAGACTTCAACCTTAATTCAATTTCATAATTTAACACTAAGATTTTATAAAATTAATAAAACATGATGAAGGTAGGAGATAGAGCCCAGAGTTTAAGCTACAAAGCAAATAGCAGGCCAACCTTAAAGCATCAGTGATAAAAGAAATAAATGCAAGATGTATTTATGGAAAGAATAAAAAGATAAATTCAATTTATATTATTTTATTTCAAGATGACTATAAACACAATCACTTCCCCATCATTTTCTATTAAAAAATATCACATAACATTTTCATTCTGCAATAAAGGAAACGGGAGGAAAGTACACTGAATTTCCAGAGACAAATAACCTATGACACACGATAATGAAACATATTATAAATGTGTGTTGTAAAAGAAAGACGCCCAGTTTCAATGGTAACGACAGATGTTAAAAACGGTTGTCCTTTTTTTACATTTTGATTCATTTCCGCACTGCATTTTGTTCCATACCATGTTTCTGGTAAAATTGACGGGGGAAAAATTCACTTAGCAAAGACTTTTAAATATACATGCATAAAATTATTTAGCATTAAAACTAGAACATTTCTGATACATTATGTATTTATTTTGCAAGATCCTTGCAGATTTCTGACCTTAGAACTGTTAAAAACAAAAACAGGCATTTTAACATTCCAAAATGTTTTCTCTATGTCTTAATTTATTAATAATCACACAAAAAATCTTGAATCTGAAAACTTAGCGCTTTAAAAAAATATTCTGCGAGTCATTTCTCCTTTCATGAAGTAATAACTCTTTGTCAAGGACTCTGTTTGTCTTTGTATGCAATTACAGGTATTAAAAGTCATGTTGTATACTGATTGAGACTAGAATATTCAGTAATTATGAACACATATTTGTACACAAAGGATAAATTAACAGTCAACACATCACCATAAACAGAATGATCAGGAATCTCTCAGTCTTACCTCTACACATTCATCACAAAAACAATCCACAAGGCATAGAAATATATACGATTGATATAGATTGTAAAATAGTCAGGAATGATTGCTTTAAGTATGCTGAAAGCAAAAGTAACAAAATTGATCATGTTTTGGTAATTTTACTTTGACTGTTTTCTCAATTAAGAATTAGAAAATATTACTAAGTAAGATAAAAATTCAGTTTTATAAAAAGTTGCAAATT